TACCTAAATACTGGGAGAGTCGTTTGCAGGTTCTGTAGCTGCTCAAACAAGTGTAGTGGAAATTCTGGGGTCAAACTACCAATCAGTTAAGAAATAAGGTAATAATATAGGCATACCAGGGGAATGGGTGAATCAATCTGGTGCCCACTTTGGCACTTCCTCAGAGACCAGGTTTTTAGTCATAAATCATATTGACCATCAGATGCTATTTTAAAGTTGCATCTACTTTTTAGTGGCGGCTAGCTAGCAACAGCCAAAGGTTTTAGTTTTTTTCACTATTTAATTGGTGGCTGCTAGCCCTGCCAGTGACCAAATATTTGGGACATTTACAATTTCAGCAATATGTCGGGTTTAGATCCAAGTGAAACCTGCACTCAGTTTTGGCAGTGTCTGGACATTGTTAAATAGTGTAATTAATGTCAGGATTTTGTTATCTGAATGGCCATTCTGACTTTTATAAATAGACCCATTATTGTTAGATCATGTGTCAGAAATTGCTTATGTGTAACTCACATTGTGTAAAATGGTATATTTTTACCAACAGCTTAAAGTTTTTACAAACAGAAAGCATGTCAATTTACATTCAGTGAAAGGGCAGTATTGTTTACACCAGGGTTATTCCTATGCATTCATATTTCAGCCCAGTTGTAATGTTGTCCAAATCTAGGGAGGTTAGCTGAATTCCATAGCTCCAAACATATTGAGGTGTAACTAAACATATGACTCGCACAATGGATGGGTAGTGGATCTCTTTCTCCACATTCCATTTCTCAAGACACAGTAAACCAAGCATGTCAAATTCACGGCCCACAATGGACATATTTGCGGCCCTGCGACCCGTGAGTACATGCTAAGTGTTAAAGCAGAGTAAGCACCTGCTTTCCCCACATTGCAGGTGCCTACTCTGCTAAAACTTACTCGGTCGGAGAGGAAGGCAGCGAGGGAGCTCAATGTTCCTGTTCCTCACTGTTCCCTCGCGAGCGCAGTCTGCAGTGAAGCCGGCATCACTAAGCTGCGCGTGAGGGAGCAGTGAAGAGCAGATAGAAGATCCCCAAATCGGCTCCCACAGATAGGGAGCAATAAAGAAAATATGTGTGCAAGAATGTATGTGTGTCAGTGAGTGTGTCTGTCTGTTTATCTGTCAGTGTGTGTCAGTGTTGCATTGGCTGCGACTGGACAGTGGAGTACCTGGAGGTGCATGGAGGCACGCAACGCCACGTCACATTCCAACGTGACATCGACGTGCTCCACCTTCAAAGTAGCGGGACGATCAGTTTTGGCATAGGGTGCGGACGGTGCCATTAGGCTAGAGGGGGGTGCTGGGATTTAGTAGAGGGGGATGCTTTTTTTTTTTAAATTTTTTTAATACTGTACTTTTCAAAATAAACCTACACTTCTATGGACATTTAAAGTGGGTTTGTTTTTGCGGCCCACTTAAACTTAAACCTGGTTTATGTGGCCTGTGTTAGACATTGAGTTTGACATGCTTGCTGTACACCATCTGCTCTTCCATTGTCCTATTTCCTTCTCGCTCTATATACTATCTGAGAACACTCGAAAGTGCTACTCCCATTTTCTACTCTAAGCATTTTCTAACTATCCAGAATAGAAACAGCTCAACAGGGTTGTTGAACTGCCTCTCCTACTCATCAGCACTTTTGAAGCGCTGAACCTTGTTTTTTTATTTTATTTTGCCAGACAAAGCAATTTGGGCTTGTGTCGAAAGTGACCTTGCCACTGGTTTTTGGAGGGGACTACTTTTACCCTGTGACTATGGCCCCTTTGGGATTTTAAACAATGGTTCTTCGAACTCCCGAACAGTCGAAGTGGCCGCCATTCGACATTCGAACACGTGGTGGTGGCGGCCATCTTGTTCGTATGGACTTAGCAGCGGATGTCCTGGAACTATTTTCGGCATGAAAACCTTTGCGGTTCCTGGTCGGTCCTCCAGAGGCACTTAGCTGCAAATCTATGGAACTGTTTTCTGCATGAAATCCTGCATTCGCTTGGGCAAAAATATGACTTCCATAAAATTTCTGAACCCCTGATCTGATCTGGGTGATTTGGGGATATGTTTTTCACCCAGATCAGAGCTATCGGGGATGTAACATTTATGGGGATATGTTGTATTTATTGGACTTCATAAAAAAGGTTTTTTTTTTCTGCCTGGGGACAATTAAGTTAATGCTTTATCTGCCTTAATTATATCACAGCCAGAGGGGAGGGATTGTGCACTGTATGAGTGTCGTTCCTTATCACATTGTTTTTATTGGCTTGCATACTTTGTGTCCTATGCCCAACAAGGTCCACCTGGGCGTCAACCTTGTTGGGAGACTTGCATAAAAGGCCAGTGTGTCCCATTAAAACTGAGTTCCTGTTTTACCCTCAAGGTTGAAAAGGTTGCATCTACCCTGGGGATTGCTATATCACTATACTCCCTAGGGATTATAATCACTAAGCTCTTCTAAGAGCTGTTCCTGCTTGACTCTCTGGAGGAAGAGAGGTTCACCCACTGGAACCTGGAGCCTTGTCATAGGTCCAGGGTGGGGTAGGAGACGGTGAGTTCCCAGCCAAGCTGTAACGCTGGATGTGGCGACTGCGGTGCTGATGGTGTCTGGTGGAGTGCTTGGAGTCATCAGTGAGCACTAGGAGCATCCGTCGGCAGGGGTACCCAACCGGGGTACAGGAATCTCCGATACAGGGCTAATCCACATTTTTCTGCCGTGCACAGGTGTATTCTTTAAATGCCGATATGGAGTCTTAAATAGTCAAGCTGAGACTATAGCAGAGTTGGAGAATTTTACAGATCTTAGCCTCGGTTTTATAATTTTGATTTCAATTTGCAACAATTCAAAGTTAGTGAATAACCCTGCACTTATTATATATGTGGTCAGACACTCTCCCAATAGGATTTTTTTTATTTTATTTGTTACCTGAATTTTAAATGTTATACAAATTTTCTACATGTATGAGTGTTGAGGGAGTATTGTAAATGAAAGGCATGAAATTTAAAATTAAAGGTATTGTAAATGAAAGTTATTCAGTCCTACAGGAAGTGCCTATGCATGCATTACCAATACTCTACTCCACTAAAGTCTTTGTAATGGATGTTCATACATTACATTCCCTGTAGAACTGTATAAAACGGTGACAAAATTCAGAAGGTTAGCGCCCTCTTGTGACAAATAATGAGAACATACAAATGTAATGAAAGTCATTGTTAAATAGTGTACACTAGGTTAATTAAAAGAGCATTCAATGCACCCACATTTTAGATGCAATATGCAGATCAGCTTACAGTGCTGGAATTGTTTATAAATAACTTTTTTTTTTATAATAGTTTGCTCAGTGAACTTTCCATACTGTCCAACCATCAGTATTTCCTTTTTTGCGTCATACATACTGGCATGCATTTCAGGACTTTTCTGATAATTTTAGTTCATGTGAGTTTTATATAATGAAAGCTGACAAACTAACTTCCAGAAAATCTTGCTTGGCCCATAAAGACCTGCTTACATGATAACTTTATCAGTGCTTTAAAAAGTTAAAGAACATCTAAAAAGGAACCCAGACCACTTCATCTCAATTGCAATGCGTAAATAAATTTCATCAAATAAATTTGATGCGCACCCGTGGTAATAACCAACTAAAACTCACCCACGTGACCTGGAGCTCCCATTGATTCAATGGGAATGCGTGTGCGGCACTTGCAGTAAATGCACATTAGGTATCCAATGCTTCTTTAAAAGGAGCATTGGATTGAACCATCATGGAGGAGATGACGTCAAGGGCAGTGGAGAGGTAAGCTGCACTTAGCCCATTGTTTCCATTTAAATCCTCACTCTGAGTATATGGTGGAAAAGAGGGGCAAAGTACAAAGCACCCCCACATGCCAAAAACAAATCTACACCCAAAAACGTAATATCTATAGAGACAAGCTAAAGAGAATTTACATAATCTGTTAGCGGCGCCAATTGCCAGCAGACAAATTCCAGAGGAAATTCAATTATATGAAGGTCCTATCCTTTGCACTTGTTAAATCAATTTAATGTATAAAGACAATTACTCAATACATCAATCCAAACTGTTCAAATGGGTTGTGTGTTTATTAAAGATTCACACATACATGTTTATGATCATTTAATGTGGAACCAATTCCATCATTTGGCGGAACCCAGAATGGTCTGTATCATAATGTGGTTACATACAGGGGAAAATAAAGTAATCGCTTGCACGATAAATTTACACATAGTGGGAAGGATTGTCATTGAATAATGTGCATCCATTAGCTGGAAAAATACAGGGAGGTAATTTTTGAAGGTTCTGTATGGTTTGTTGCTATTTTTCAATAGAACATACAAGATGTATGATTTAAAAAAAAAAAAAGCTTTCAACCATCACTTTACTGAAAATTGTCTACCCATATTATAATAATTGCTAACAAGTAATGTCCACTTATTTAATCACAGCAGCACCTAGTGCTGCTAAATTTTAAGAGGGGAAAGACAAACCCATTTTACAGAACTGGGTCCCCAGGTGGTTACTGAAAAGTAGCTGTTGATTTATTTAACAAAAAATATATATGTAGATTTTCTTTTTGTTTCATTGGTTGCCAAAATAATGCTCATCAATAAAGGGCTACTATAAATAAATCTATATATTATTAAAAATAATAATAATACAAGCCACAAATTCACGTGCATGGGGTTGTCCACATGTTCCAAGGTAGGACTGTCCAACAATTCCAGACAACATTTTCAATATATATTAAGCACATTCATTGTATGTTCCACTAAGTTTTCATGCATTCTTTGAATAGATGACCCAAGCAGCAGGAATTCTCGTGTCACAGCTGGTCAGTCATGTGATTGATCAAGTAAGTTATCAAAATGTAAAATAGTCTTTTGGTCTTGTTTGTATGGACCAGGCACTGGGATCCTCCATGCATCATGATAAATGTCTGTAGTTCTACAGCAAATAATCCAGACTGTTCAGGTTCTTCATCTCCTCCATCTGCATAACACATCAAAATTATGTCAATAAAGCAGACATTAACAATTATAGGACTATAGCTATGTTTCTTTATACTTCAATGTCTTTACTGTATTAGCCTTTAAAATTTTTTTATATATATATATATATATATATATATATATATATATATATATATATATATATATATATATATATATATATATACACACACATATACACACACACTCCACACACACGGATTAACCTTACATGCATGTATAAGCTTGACTAAAAAGTGGCATTTGAATGTCCACAGTCCCAAATGTCTCAATTTAGCCAAGCTTAATTGTGGCAGTTGGGACAGTGGACAGACATATTTCAAATTATTTACATCAAAAGTTCAACATACCCAAAGAGCATCCTCAAAATCATTTTCTGTAGATGAAAACTGCCCATGAAAAGAGATTTTTTTTTTCTCTCCCTATCTTGCACTGTACACCAGTTGTAAAACCAATAAGAAATTAAGCATACACTTGCAAATATGGTCGCAAAAAAACAACACATGTATCAATCACTATAGACCGTTTGTAGTGAGGTTAAACAAATGACACGTTATTGCCTGAAGATGGATGATCTGTATTTAGGCCGATTAACATGTGAAATGTCAAATAATGCATCCAAAATTGTAATTTAGCCAATTATATAGTATATGAACTTTGGAGAAATTGCATGCATTTGGATATCCCATTAGAATTAAAAACGCCAGTTTGCTTTCAATGATAAAGAACAATCCAAAACTAAGCTTTATGTGCCCCTAATGATTCATTTAGTAAGGATTTAAGGGTTCTAGTTAGTTAGAGAACCTGTGCTCTAAACCACAGGAAAAATAAAAAAAATGAACAAAAATTTAATAAATTATTACTTATTTATTTACTTAACAACCAAAGCTGGACACAAAGTACAATTGCAATATTTAGTATTTAAAAGTACTACTAAATCTCTCTCACTTGGAACTCCCCAGATGCACACACAACAAAGTACCTACATCCTCAAACACTTGTCCTTTCCTCCACTGGCTACTCGTTGTCCATCCGGGCTCCAGTCAACAGCAAATATCTAGGACAAAATGAAAAAACAAAAAACACATTGTTTTATGACCAGATTAAAGTAAGGAGAATACAAGACCCATCAAGTTTACAACATTGCAGGTTTAACAGGTTTTCTTAAAAAAAATAAAAAAAAAAAAAAAAAAATGTATATCAATGCCCAGAAACTGGTGTGCCGTCGCACCCTCGCAAGAAGAATGATTCCAGAGAGCAATAGGTTGTGGTGCATTTTCACGCAGGGTGGTTAAACGATTAGACCTAGCACCAGGAACACATAGTATTCTGAGTGCACGTTTAAGCCAGGTAAGGAGTTCACAGTGCTATTCCCAGAAGAGGAGCTGAATGTTGTGTTAGCACGTTGTGGTATATGTATTAATGGGCACACTGACTGTGATATGCATTTCTGGGCACACTGACCAAAATGGTTGGGAAAAACTTACTGTGGCATATTTAATATATTTAATATTGGAACTTACGGTGTGCGGAAACTCTGGGAAGAGCTTTGGTGTGCCTTGGTTGAGAGAAGGTTGAGTAACACTGGTTTATATAGAGGAAAAAAAAAGCTCTAATCCTAAATATTGTGTACCTCATCTGCATGTCCCGGGAGATCCACAGAAAGCTTTTTGATCTTTGTATCCCACACTTTGAGTGTGCTGTCACTGCTTCCACTGACTAATAATCGGCTGTCTGCTGACCATGCAATCTGATACACAGCACCAACATGGCCTCGTAAAGATGCAATGTATCTAATGTGAAAAAAAATAAAATACATATATATTACTTTCACACACAAAATCTAAATACAGAATTTACTAACAAATGAATGAGAGACAGATGATTTTCATTACAGGCTCCTTTCGGTCTCAGACATTTAGACTTAACTCAAAGTGGCAAGGAGAATTGTTAGAGTTAGTGTTGCCTTGACAGGCAGGTGAGCTTACACTTTAATGGCCATTGGAGGGATACTAAAATCCTCAATTTTTTTGAAATGTGCATTTGTAACACTTTGTTTTGGGTTTTATTCTATGTATTGGTGCTGATGTGTACTATAGTCATTGCTGCCACCCAGGAGTAGTGTGAGCTTAAGCACAGGGCTTAATTTTGTATGACTAACAGCTTTATCTCATTGAAGGGACTATAGTGTCGGAATAAAATACAAAGGCTGAGGTGAGTGGAAACGTATTTTATTTTGCACTCCAAAAAAAGACTGCCTATCAACAAAGCCTCCAGTTGTGCCCAGACCACTTTTTCACTCCTAGAAATTGTATGGGACATTGGTCCACCATGCTGGAATTATTCCCATGATAATTGATATGGGCAATATTCCTTTAATATTCAAGTAGTAAGCAAGAGTCCCATGCGGGTCATCCCCTCTGTGCAGCTTACATTAATGAGGAAGCATTAGCCTGAGCAGTAATAGGCAGCTGTGACTGGCTTAGAGAGTGTCAGCTGACTGCTTTCAGCCTATCATTGCTGGTATGAATAGGTTTGGTTTGAAGGAAGTGTGTCATCTTGGTGCTAGCCATACCTCAAGTAGAGGCAGGGCTCTGTGTGGCCAAGGACCCTCAATCATTAAATTGCTTGAAAATGGAATAAGCTTTGAATGGAGGAACAGTGGCAGGAGACTCCAGGCACCATAACCAAATTCAGTGAGATGTAATTGTTATAGTGACTACAGTGTCCACTAAGGGGCATAATTTCCAAACTCCTTTAAAACAGAGCTAGCTCATTAGGGATAAATGAAAATCATCAGACTGTATGCGATTACAGTAATGTGAGCCAAAACTAAACAGAACAACTCACTTTCCAGTCTTCCCATCCCAAAGTTTTATTGATTTGTCAAATGAAGCACTGGCAATGATCCGTGTGTCAGGAGAAAAAAGAACTTCATTTATCAAAGCTTGGTGTCCAGTCATCCTCTGTAAAGGTTTCTTATCCTCTGCTGGTGTCCACAGATACAGGGTGAAGTCATCAGAGCCCGATACGAGCCTCTCAGGGGCCTGTCCCTATATGAAAGGAGTGAAAGTGTGTTGGAAGTTTTGGCTCTCCTAGAAACACTTGGTTGTTTCCCTCCTTTAAACAAAGACTACATTCAAATCAAAAGTAAGCATTGTGAATTTGAAAGCTTCTTGGTATTCTGAAAAAGACAGCAGGATAACATCTTCAACAATTGTTAATGTGATCCCTGCAAGGATTAAGGTAAATCATTTTTAAATGTGACAGGTTCGACCTGCCACTGTTCCTAAAGTTCCACTCTCCACAGGCAAGTGAAACTTCCTCCCTGGCAAGTAGAGGAATGGTGCGTATGCCGTGGATCTTCCAAGCTTGTGAAGGAGTGTAACTTTTAGGCCTGTCTGGTAGTGAATGATTTCACTTATACTACAGGGCCGTTGAATGCTTCAGTCTGATTGGTTGATGAACGTTCTAAGGTGTGCATTATTTTCAGGGAGACGCACGGCTAAAGTTGTTCCAGACAGGTCTTGACCGCATTACAGTTGCGTAAGAAATTAGTCCTACATACAAGAGCGTTTTAATGACAAAAACTTGACAAACGTCTTGAAATACATCATCTGAACAATGTTTTGAGGTGTGGTAACTGTAGTATAAGCGGAATAATTGACTCCAGGCCGTTGAATTATTAAAACAAAATAACGCACACCCAAAGTGTAACGGCCACTCAGCTTCGCGTCGTGCCCTCATTACCACCTCGGGTGTGCATTATTTTTCTAACAATTCAACGGCCTGTCGTCAATTATTTCTTACATATGGAACCCTGCTAAAGGGGTTACACATCTAAAGAATAGCATTGATCAAGCATGTTAAAATAACCTTGCATCCTTTTATCTCATCAGAAAGACTTCTAATTTCAAGTAATCTTGCTTTCCTTCCAGATACAAGAGTTCTAGAAAAGTTAATACCAGGCAGTTTTGTCATCCCTGCCCTGTAATATGAAGATATTTGAGGATGCTCTAACTGGGAACAAGCCAGGAAAAGACATGTTTTAGGAAGAGAAAAATAATCTAGAAATTACACTGGTGATGTCTCTCTGCTAGCCCTCTTCTCAGTGATCAGTGCTAGGCTTTGACAGTTGCTCAGCCCCCTTTAGATTCTGGAGCTGCAGCATAAGAGTGAACCCTCATGGTGAAATCACACAGTACAGAGCGATCATAGAGCACTCTGAGCTTTGAAATCAGTCTACTAATGTCAGTAGAGGGAATCCCTCTGAGGTGGTATTATGGGCAGAATTAGGATTAGGGGGAAATTATATATGTGGGGTATCATTGTAATTGAGAACAGTAGAAGAATGCATTAGTGGGACACACTATAATATATATATATATATATATATATATATATTATAGTTTGTTTTAACATGGTTAAGTGGAGAGTGTCAAAATGCTCTTGGATGATGTACTCTATAAATATATACTTTTGTGTAGTGATTTCAGATTCTGAGACTACTATAAAAAAGTTCTACCCTCAACATAACAAATTTTGCAAAGTTTTAGCTTTAAAAACTAAATACACTCCTAACAATATTTTACAACTTCTAAAAATGAATAGAAATCCTAAAATATTGGGCATTTTAACAATAAAGACTAATTAGTGAATCTATTTTCAGTTATTTTTCTATAGTTGCTCTTAGGGAGTTGTAGTTCTTAAATGTAAAACTGAGGAAAATGTATTTAACGTTGTTAATATAGTATTCCTATTTAATATGGTGTTATCAAAAGAAAGCTCTAGTTCTTAAAACTACAAAAAAAAACAAAAACAAAAAACAACCCAACAAAAAAACGATATACAATACATATACAATAAACAGAACAGGTGAAATTGTGGTAGAATGAACACAAGGCAAACGTGCCAAAAAGGCCTTGGTCACAAATGTGTTGTATCTCAATATAGCCTTGGTCCCTAAGGTTTGAAAGGGTTATACAAAAAAAAATTAAAAAAAAAAAAATTATATATATAAAAAAAAAAAACATTTAAACTTCATTTAAAAAAAAAAAAAATACAAAAAATAAATAAAATATATATATATAATCATACCCGAACTTGATTGTATCGCTTCAAAGCCTTCTCTTTCAGGACCTCCACTAGGTTAGGAAAAGGAAAATGACCCTCATTAAGATAAATAAATAAAAATGTACAAATATAAAAACAAACTATATGATAAAGCCAAGAGTCAGTTAAATATTATAGAAGGGAAAATATTGTTCATGTAACAAGGTCACTTATAAGCAAGAAGCTAAATGTTTTGACTATCAAAACTCCCAAGCACTGCTGATTACCACCATTAGAGACATACCTGGGCCTCAATCAGTAGCTGTTAGAAGTGCAAAAAATATTAGTCTATTAATCACCCAATGCATCTTTATTATGTAGCACCACTGTACTTTCAGGGTTTATACCCTTAATATTGGTGGAGAAGGGGGCCCAATATCACTGCCAGTAGAATTCAGTCGGATTCTAATCTTAACTGATGCTGTACCCCATGCAGATCATGTTGTTGTTGTTTGCAACATACTACATTTATTATGGTCATTCAGTAGACTTCTTTATTTATAAATCGATGATAATTCACATATATATTCTATAACCTAATTTTGAATAAACCTTTAAAGTCCAATAATTTACATTTTTATTAAAAGCAAAGTGAGTCAAATTCTGTATCTGTCAAAAACTTATACTAACAGAGTCTGTCACAGTGCTAAGCAATAAAGACAGATCATACAATATAATAAGATGGCCAAAAAAAAACAAGCAAAAAAAAAAAAACCAAGAAGCTTTGAAGGAGTAGAGATTTGTTTAACCATTGGTCATAGAAGTAAAATGCCCCCAAAAACCTAAAATATATGGTAAATAAATGACAATACGCTAAGGAACAAAGTCTTTTTTATATCCCTCATATTTTAACCCCTTAAGGACACGACATGTGACATGTCATGATTCCCTTTTATTCCAGAAGTTTGGTCCTTAAGGGGTTAAACGGGATGAATCAGAATAATATTAAAAGCACCTACGTGATCCACTCATATCCTGTGGGTTGATGGAAGCTTCTGCTGGTTCAAAGGCCCCTGTCCGTAGCACATAGTCTGTGCTAAGAGCCATAGTATTAACCCAGTGGGCATGACCTTGTAATGTACGACAAAGGACTCCCTGGAAGACAAATAGTATTATTAACCAGTTTTGCACTGCCCAGACACCCCCATTCCAAATTTCTCTTCATGACAAGAACGCACCCTAACTGATACATGCACTGACATACACAGTCAGTCACACACACTGTTTAACCAACACACACATACACACTCACGACACAAATATACTCACTGACAAACACACTAACACACTCACAATTTTTTTTTGCTTACATTTTGCATTTTTTCCTGTGGTTCATTGGGGCTGCTGCTGGCTGGGCTGGCATGCAGTCGCGGAGACAGGAGCAGAGTTCAGATGGGAGGCGAGGGAGCTCAGATCTTCCTGCTCAGCTCCTTCATGTGCCTCTCCGTGATGCTGGAGCAACGTCATATTCCGGCTCCGGCATCAATGCAGTGCGCGCGAGGGAGCTGAGCAGGGAGAGCTCAGGAGACAGTGCTCACTCGCTGCCAGCCTAACTAAGGTAGATGCCAGCCTCTGGGTGGCCAGCCAGCCAGCTCTGGTACCCCACTGCAAGAGGCTGGCAAGGCATTTGCCAGGGCGTTTGGGAAAGGGGGAGCCGCTTTTTTTTGCAACCCCCATGCAAGTGCCACCCAAGGCAAATGCCTTGTCAGCCTTGCGGTAAATACACCACTGAGTGTATATACACACATATATGTATTTGATTTACAGTATTTTTAAAAGGAACACTCCAAGCATCATAACTGCAGTCCGCTGTCAGGATTATGGTGCCAAGAGCACTAAAGTGCTACAGAGAATATTAAATCAGAAGAAGTCAAATTAAAATATACACTTAACTGAATTACTGTATTCAAAATGGAAACAATAGTTTTCTGAACTTACATCATCTGCCCTCCAAACTTTTATTGTCCTGTCCTGGGAGGAAGAAAAAAGTAGGCCATCTCCACCCCATTTTACTCCAGTGACGGAGTGTGTGTGGCTAGTAAGGATCTTCTGACACTTGCCCAATATAGTATCCCAGATTCGAATACTGCAATCTTTGGAGGCACTAGCAAGAAATCTGCATTCAGGGTTCCTAAAACCAAAAGACCGACAGTTTGAGACTAGCCCAGTGGCAGATTCATGGAGTACAATGGAAAGGAGGGTTATGGAAGCAGCCACAGTTTATTAAATCATTCTTATCAAAAGCTGTACCAAAAAAACAAGGAAAACTGATAAACAAAGACAGAAGCACTTATGTGATTTCTTTTACAGGTCAGATGGCATAACCGATGTCACAGGTAGAGAGCACCTTTGAAATCAAAGTCAACTTTTGCAATACAAGCAACATTGAGTTAGACTGCACGGGGCATGATCTATATACAAAAAAACCACTCAAACTAAAGTTGTTTTCGTGCTTATAGAGTCCCTTAAGTAACCGTTTCAAAGTATAGCAAGTTAAGTTCTTGCGTATTATCACTTAATTATTTTTCAGACTTCTAGATTCTAAGTAAATTAGTTAAGGTTGAAATTATGCAAACAGGATGTTGAGCAACTATAAGTTTTTAATTGTTTAGGACATAAAACAAAAATAAAGTGGGAGGACTATCACCATGCTAAGTCTACTTAAAAAAAAATTCCCTTCCCACAAATAACATGATCAAGTTACTTAAAGGAACACTATAGCGATAGGAATACAAATATGTATTCTTAACGCTATAAAGCCTTTGTCACCTAAACCATGATTAACCATTTATTTGCTTTCCCTAATCCAGAGCCAGGCTCCCTTGGCACTGGTGACCTCTCCTCCATCGACATCAGCTCCCGAGTGGAGCCGAATGTGCGTGCGCGGCCTAAACCCGCCCATAGGAAAGCATTACTCCTATGGAGATCTTTTTTGACGCTGGAGGTCCTTGAGGACGTCCAGCGTCAAATAAGTGCAATTTATTCAGAGTAAATCGCGCAAGTGCCTCTAGTGGCTGTCAGGGAGGCTGCATTAACCATGCAGTGTAAACATAGCATGTTTTCAGCTGCAGGGTTAAAACTAGGGGGACCTGGCACCCAGACCACTTCATTGAGCCTATAGTGGTCCTTTAAATCAAGGTCTGGCTGTCCGCAACCCTGAATAACGTATGATTTTTTTTTATTTCTACAGGATACAAAGTTATGACTGTCACTAAGGAAATAAAGGCTACTTACAAATGGAGAGGTTCCCAGCACAACCAGGTTATCCATTTTGTGTGTCCGGTTAATGTTTTTCCAATCTGCTTGCCTGTGTTAGGATCCCATATACAAATCTGAAAACATAACAAAAAGATTAAATAAATATTGGTGAAAATATTAATTGTAAAACATTCATAGACCATAACAGAATAAAATGTACTGCATATGTTTTAGACATATACTATTTTGAGGTTTAACACGCATGTACCTGACTGTTTTTACAGCCTGACGCAAGTTTCTTCCCATCGGGAGACCAAGCTATACTAAGCACCCAGTGTGTATGACCTAAAATTGAAGCAACAAATAAATATTAAGTAAGTACACTGTTTAACAAAGTTTAAAAAAAGATGTTATGCAACAAGTATAAAATGAGAAAATATTTCATGCAAGAATATAATTTTTGTAAAACAACTGGGGTATATACACAAGTCATCCAGTTGAAAACATTTTAATACGGAACTGTATTTATTAATTAGTCCTTCACAACAGGCATCAAAATCTGGAACAAGTATGATTCTTAAATAGAAAAGCAAAAAGACAAACAACACCAAGGACACTACAAAAAGACTATAAGTATTCGGCCCACCCAGATAATAGCAATGCGAATGTTGGTTTATATGTATATAAGTTGAATATCTCAGAACACCTACCATCCCCGACATGTACGACAGGGCCTTCTAAACAGGGACCCCCCCCTTAAGGGCACCCAGACCCGCCTCAGACAGCATTACGAGACGTTCTACCAACCCCCGTCCCCTCCGCCGCCCCCTTGGTTAGGAGCACAAATAGCAAAACGATACATAAACGTTCTAGTGAAACACGCAGACACAGGAGTGTAGCCGAAATGAACGTAAATACACTCTTGACCCTCCTGTCACATAATCACAGACAGACACCACCCCTCAACAGCGACACACCTTCTTGAAGATTTTACAAGGTATTGTTTATTAGGAGCAGGGACCTGAGCTAACGACACAACTGACCTACAACAAAAACCATCTTAGCTCCGCACCTAGCCTCAGACCCGCAACTATAAGCTTAGATCCATCCCATGAGCACTGACATGCCCTGTTGCACCCGAAAAGCACTCACCTCAAAAAAAAAAGAAAAGCAAAAAGACTTAAATGGAAGCTAGGCTCTCCATTTCCTTCTTAACGAACCTTTCATAACATTAGTTACTTTTCCTTTCAATTAGGTTTTGATTCAAAACCGGCTTGTATATTTCTTTGTTAATCATGGATGGTGACAGTATATGGCATGGGACAGCATTTACAGGCCTAAAGAATTAACAGTTGTACTGACTTGCAAAAACAAATGGGATATCCACCTGAGAAGGCAACGCAATTACAGAACTTAAAGATTTTTCTTTCTTCACAAATTGTAAATGAAAAAATAAATAAATAAACCAACAAAACTTGGTTTAACAGTCATTAGTTGTACTATTTTTTAATTTTATGTATTAATTTATACCACAAACCTCACTGTATGATGCAAAATCGCATCATGTAAATTAAATTTAACCTTAAAGAATAACTCCACTGAAGTGCTTTATGGGTGAAAAGTATCCTAGTTTAAGCTTAGTTTACAAAAGTGCCAATTTCTATGAGAAACAGCCAGGGAGGATCGCAGCTTCCTTCCGTTAGCTACCCTAAGCTAACGAGGTGGCAGGCACGCTCTGCTTGAGCCCTGCCTCTTACCACACAGACCTCAGACCTGATGTCAGAATAGACTTGGGCATGTGCACGAGCCTGTGTGTGTTTATGCAATGTTGCGCGCATGCACCAATTCAGAGGCTTCTCAATGGGAACCCTCTGATTGGTTACTTCCCTGTAAAAAGACTGAAAGTCTCTTCCATGAAAAAAGTGGAAGGCTTGCCAAGGCTGCAGTTCATAAGATCTGCAAGCCTTTACAAGCTCTTAACATATAACCCAAATGAAGGCATGAAAAAAAAAAAAAAAACAAGCATGTATTCATTGTAATATATCCACTAAACAGTGATTTCATGTATTTTTATTTTTGCCCTTTGGGCAGTGCAATGCTCCTTGAAGAGTTACTTCAGATCTGTCCTACACAACCTCTTGCATTAGTGGTTGATCCCTGCTTTTTTAGTATGCTCCATTAGTGGTTCAAATGATAGTTCTATATGTGTATGTTGTATCTATGCTGAACCGTTTTCAAAAAGAAAAACTAAAATTTTGAGTATACAGTTCCTTCTCACCTGGTCTCACTAAAAGACAAGAAAATACATGACAGTAAGCAGGGACAGGATCTAAATATGTCAATGTTCTAAAGGAACGCACCAGCATTATACATAAACACATTTAAAGGGACACCAGTGTCACCAAAACAACTTTAGATTAAGCAGTTTTTGTGTATAGATCATGCTTCTGAAGTCTCACTGCTCAGTTTAGGAGTTAAAGGACTTTTGTTTATGTAGTCCTAGCCACACCTCCCTTGGTTGTGACTCACAAAGCCTGCATGAAAAAAAAAAAAAAAAGGTTTTATTTTCAATCAGATGTCTGTTTTTATCTCCTGCTCTGTAAAAGGAACTTTAATTACACACGGGAGGCGCCTGCATGCTCTAACAGTGCAGGACATGAGATAACTGCAATAAAGGAAATGTAGCTTCATTAAGCTAAAGTTGTTTTGATTACTATAGTGTCCTTTTAACAGAGTACATTGCTAGGCCTTCCCTTCTAATCTAGTGGTGAGATGGCCCCCTTCTAAAACTCTGAAACGCCATTACAAAAGCCAAGTGTATAACCCCTTAAATGTGAAAACATCTGATGACATAGAAGGGACTTACTTACCTTTAGCAGTAAAATGAGGAGTCTCCGTATTTAGATCCCAGAAGCGAACTGTAGTGTCACCTGATCCACTGGCCAGGTATCTGTAAAACAATCAATACAGCATTGCATTTCTTTCCTACACATTGTGCTATATCTCAGAGAATGTACTGGCTGGAGCAAAATATGATTTGATAAGAAAGTGGTGCATTCATGTTGACTACATTAATACTTACTTTCCGGTTGGACTAAAAGCTACAGAAATTACGGCCTCTGTGTGTCCCTCCAAAGAACTTGTGCAACGTGTCACAGCGCGGACCTTAAAGACAGCTTGTGGTTGGTAGATTATATCCAACACCTTCTCTGTTTCCACACTCCGCTTCTCAAGGGTTTTATCAAGTGAAGTTATGATCTCCTGTTCATCTACAAAGAAAGCCAAAGGCGGTGGTTCGTCCTGAGTAAAGAAAAAAAAAAAAAGTAAATAAAATAAAAAACATCCTGAATTTGCTCCAAAAAGTTTATATAACTAGCTGTGTAAAAAGGAATTCAAGGGTTACTCTAACTCCTTTTTATGTTAAAGTTCTAATGCCCTAATGAGCATTACTAACTTTGTGCAACATCCTTTTTTAACCCAAACACCCAGTAAATTAAGTAAAAAAACCAAAGAGAACTTGAATCCAGTGCTGGACGCATATCAAGCAATACAGGCAGACGGGAAGGGCTGAAATGATGGATGGAAGAGATATATAAGCTTCCCCTTGCAGATGCCCTTCCAACATTGCCTTCAAATATAGAAGCAGTGTTACCCGAATACAAACATGATTTTTGCACAGAATTGACATTAAGCAGTTTGCCCAAGTCACGTGTGACGAGGAGGTTAACTAGCTTCTGGCCCAAAAGTACAGAAATCAATACAAATTCCTTCATCCATGACTCCTTTTAAAAGCAGAAGTGGTCATGGAGGCTGGACTAACCCTTTAAAGAATTAAAAAAAAAAAAAAAAAGGGAACAAACCATAATCATATGTGACAATCAAATTAAACTAAAATATTTCAGTAGTGAGAGAGTTCAAAAATAATTACATTAAAAAGTACACAATATCTTAAAATAAACATTTGAATCCAAAGCAAAGATAATTACCTCCTGTAAAAGAACATTGCAGACAAGCTGAAGCTTATCAGGTGTAATATCCACAGGTACATCAAAGGGGGTTCCCAACACATCTCCGTTTTCATTCTTAAACTGAATAAGAAGCCTGCCTATATCTTCCTTCACAGCTGTAAGAAGAATATGTAAAAAAAAAAAAAAATTACAAAATTAAAAAAAAAGTTTCTGATGAGAAAAAAAAAAAAAACACAAACCAAAAAGTGTCCACAAATGCTAGTTTGACAATAAAATATTATTTTTACAAGTTTAAATTAACAAATAGTAATGCCATTCTTCACACAATTTACTAAAAATATATATAAAAACAAGCGAATAACTCCCTAAAAACAGAACTACAATACAAGGCATCACAGACTCAATTATAATTCATGTATAAAATACTGCATCCTATATGAATACTCTACATAGTTATCTACCACACAATTATCACTTCTGTGATAGTTCCAGACACTTAACTAATGAGTATTAATCGGGTTTTATATGCAATAAAATATAGTTAGATCGCAAAATTGAGTAAGCATTCTTTCACTATCTACTTGTTTATTTCTGTTAAAACACTATTTTGCCATTATCATTTTTTTTGAAGTTCCCATTCAATTGCCAAAGAGTAGCTTTACTCTGGAAGGGACTTTGGAAGTGAACCCCGAGTGTGTCCAGGGAAGTTAGTAACACCTTCCTATAATATTATTATTATTATTAGCACAGTGTATAGTATTAAACCCACATACTTTCATCTGTCATCTTCTTCTCCTTCACAAGTTGTAATATTCGCACCGGTAACTGAACTCAGAAGCAGACAGCTCTTTACTTAAGAAAACGTGGAGTGGCGACAACGTCATCACCCTGCGCAGAGTGTCTTATAAAGATAGAAACAAATACATTGGAGCAGCCATTTGTCCAGAGCCCACGACACGTTGAGGTTTATGTAAACTGGCCCCAACAAAATGGCTGCTACAAGGGAGACACAGAGGAAAATGTGTTGCTCTGGGCTGTCGCACAGTCGAAGTTGTCACATTATAATGCATCTTCACCATAGAGTCAGAATTGGCAGCGTTTCCTAATTGCTAGTTGTCTAGCTTTGACTGCAGCGCCACTGCCTGGTTTAACGGCGATCTTGTGCTAGTACAGAGTAAGCAGCTTTCACATTTTTTATGAATGCATAGATTCCATTTAGAGGTTGTCCTTAACAGTTTAAACTATGGATAATGATAAGATTAAAGGGTTACTCCAACCACCTTTGCTTTTAGAAGTGGTCATGGTTGCAGGAGTCTGTATGTGCCTGCAAGGGCAGCTTGACCTCCTCACCATCCCTCTTGCACTCACTCCCTCTGTTTTCAGCAATTACTTTTTCTTTTAGATTCTTTACTTAAGAATAGGCAGCCAGGTACCTCTGTGTGGAGAGGTACATAATACAGCATTCATTGAATTCATACTACATTTGTGGTTCAGAAAATTCATCAGTATCACATCTTATATAGTATGGCAATTGCATATTACACGCTGATGAGTTACAGCAACATATATGTTTAATTACAGCACTGCTATACTCCCCCCACACCCCTTTTTGGTCACCCCTTTTTGGTTTTCTTCAGAAAATACAGTATGAGAGGAGGAATATGACTATAGCTGAAACTGGTAGATATCCTGGTTCTCAAGAGAGCTAGTTTCTGTTGCTCCACAGGCCTACAAACAGTAGAATCTCCGGTTCTGCGCCACTGTATTGGCTAGATGCCCCTGGTATTAGAGATGCCGCTTCCTCCTACAGTTTGTCCAGTGTGCTTAAGCTTAACAGTATAACTTGCAGGATATTGAAATAAAGAGAGAAAAGAAAACCACTCTCACCTTCCTTTCCTGTGCTGTTCACACTGTATTCTGTGCGAACAGAGTGGGCTGCCAACTGTGTTCGTGCGTTTCGACACGAACGGGCGCAGAACGTGCGTTCGTCTTCTTCCGCCTGTTCGCACTATAATTGGGCGAACAGAGTGGCCACTCACTGTTTTGTGCCTCTCTGCACGAACGGGTCAGCAAACAGGCTTACCATTCATCTAAATTTGCACAAACGGTCAATTCCACTGTAAGTCCTATTTTTCCTCTCTCATTAGTTCATGTTTCCGCAACCCCAGGCGTCTCTTTGACACCTTTTTAATTCTCTTCTTCGCCCCGCTGTGGCCACCCCCCAAACGAACCTTACTGCTGATAACTTTGCATGTTACTTCACTGACAAAATTGAACAGCTAAGGAAAGAATTCTCCCCTCCTTGCCTTTCTGTTTCTCAATCACACATTGATCATGCCTTTCCTACCCTTCAGACATTCTCCCCAGCCACTGACAAAGAGGTGGCTGCTCTTCTTTGCTCCTCTCGCCCCACCACTTGTCCGCTCGATCCTGTCCCATCTCACCTTATCAGATCTCTCTCCACTTGTCTCGTGCCTTCTCTAACACACATCTTCAACTGCTCGCTCTCTTCTGGCATCGTCCCTGCTGACCTTAAACATGCCACTGTAGTACCTATACTAAAAAAACATCCCTTGACCCATCCACCCCCTCTAACTACCGTCCCATATCCCTGCTCCCTTTTTCCTCAAAGCTTCTGGACTTGTCTTTACTCGTGTGTCTCATTTCCTCAATTCCAACTCTCTCCTTGACCCCCTTCAATCTGGCTTCCACCCTCTCCACTCTACAGAGACTGCCCTTATCAAAGTTACTAACGACCTAATCGCAGCTAAATCCAAAGGCCACTACTCCATGCTAATTCTTCTTGACCTCTCGGTGGCCTTTGACACCATTGATCAGGCTCTCCTTCTTCAAACTCTGCAATCGCTTGGCCTCTGTGACTCTGTCCTCTCGTGGTTTTCCTCTTATCTCTCCCAACGCTCATTCAGTGTCTCTTTTTCTAATGATACCTCCTCCCCTCGCCCTGTCTCGGTTGGAGTCCCCCAAGGCTCCATCCTTGGTCCCCTTCTATTTTCTCTTTATACTGCCTCTCTTGGCAAACTTATTACCTCATTTGGATTCCACTACCACCTGTACGCTGATGACACCCAGTTATATCTCTCCTCCCCGGACCTCTCCCCTGCTGTCCTGCAACGTGTCACTGCTTGCCTTTCTTCCATCTCTGACTGGATGTCCTCCCGCTTTCTGAAACTCAATCTCTCAAAAACTGAGCTCCTTGTCTTTCCTCCTCCTAATACTGATCCTCCTCTTTCACTCTCCCTTCAAGTTTGTGGTACCAACATCAGCCCATCCTTGCAAGCGCACTGTCTTGGCGTCATACTTGACTCTGGTCTCACCTTTGAGCCTCACATTCAGCATGTTGCCAAATCCTGTAGATTCCATCTTAAAAACATAGCCCGCATCCGCCCCTTTCTTGCACCAGATACTACCAAGGAGCTTGTCCATGCTCTAATAATTTCACGCATGGATTATTGTAACCCTCTCCTGCTTGGTCTTCCCAAAAGCCGTACTTCACCCCTACAGTCTGTAATGAATGCTGCTGCTAGACTGATTTTCCTCTCTAGTCGGTTCTCACACCTCACCCCTCTGCCAGTCCTTACATTGGCTTCCTGTGTGCTATAGGAGTCAATTCAAGGCACTAACTCACACCTATAAAGCACTGAACAACTCTAGCCCCTCTTATATCTCCTCACTGATCCACAGGTATGTCCCTTTTCGGCCTCTCCGCTCTGCCCGTGACCACCTCCTGTCCGTTGTCCGCACCCGTACGGCCAACTCGCGCTTGCAGGACTTCTCGCGGGCGGCTCCCTTCCTATGGAATAGCCTGCCTACCGCCATCCGACTCTCCCCTAGTCTTGCATCTTTTAAGAAGTGCCTTAAAACTCACACCTAACACCTCACACTAACTCACACCTATAAAGCACTGAACAACTCTAGCCCCTCTTATATCTCCTCACAGATCCACAGGTATGTCCCTTCTCGGTCTCTCCGCTCTGCCCGTGACCACCTCCTGTCCGTTGTCCGCACCCGTACGGCCAACTCGCGCTTGCAGGACTTCTCGCGGGCGGCTCCCTTCCTATGGAATAGCCTGCCTACCGCCATCCGACTCTCCCCTAGTCTTGCATCTTTTAAGAAGTGCCTTAAAACTCACACCTAACACCTCACACTAACTCACACCTATAAAGCACTGAACAACTCTAGCCCCTCTTATATCTCCTCACAGATCCACAGGTATGTCCCTTCTCGGTCTCTCCGCTCTGCCCGTGACCACCTCCTGTCCGTTGTCCGCACCCGTACGGCCAACTCGCACTTGCAGGACTTCTCGCGGGCGGCTCCCTTCCTATGGAATAGCCTGCCTACCGCCATCCGACTCTCCCCTAGTCTTGCATCTTTTAAGAAGTGCCTTAAAACCCATCTCTTTAGGAAAGCTTATGGCCTCCAAGACTAACCCCTACCTCACATACCCATCTCTTGCCCTCTCCTAAAGGGCAGCCCACCTTATTTGATTGCAAATTCCTGTCCTAATGTGTTTAACACCCCACCTCCTATAGAATGTAAGCTCGATTGAGCAGGGTCCTCTTCAACCTATTGTTCCTGTAAGTTTATTTGTAATTGTCCTATCTATAGTTAAATCCCCTCTCATAATATTGTAAAGCGCTACGGAATCTGTTGGCGCTATATAAATGGCAATAATAATAATAATAAGTCTTCTGTTCGTGGACTCTTCAACATGGTGGGCATTCGGCAGTTTGTCAAAATGAAGGGCCGTTCGTTAACTTTCTGCCGAATGCTTCAATCAATCCCTGTCTTTCTTCACTTTGCCCGTGAACGCCTTTCGCGGGCTTTTTCCTGTCAGCTAGCCCGGGTCTCTCGTGAGACCCATGGCGGCCATTTTGTTGGTATAGTTTTGGTGGAGTATCACTCTCAGCAATACAAGGCTCTCGTTTTGACGGTTTTTCAACCCAATTCCAGAGGTGAATTTCCAGTTTTTCCTATTGGGACCTGTAGAGGTTGGTGTTACCCCTGGGAAGTGGGACTGTCAGTTAGGTATACCCTAGTAGTCTGGCAAGGGGTGAGCCACCATTTGGGTAATTCCCTGAGTGCTGCCTAATGGAATCTGTTGAACTAGTTCTGATCTCCTGGGTGAGCCCCAGTGTTACAGAGTCTGCTTTCCACGCCACTGGCCGACAAGCATTATACGGCCTAAGGCCTGTCTAAGTCCCTCCCACACGGTCCCTCCACCACTCATACCTGTGCCTTTTAGTGCCCGAATTATGGAGGACACACAGAACCAGATTGACCTTCAGGCCATGATCAACGCAGCGTGGCTGCGTCGTTGGAGAAGGCGATGGCGAAGGTGTTACCAACGGCCTCTGAAACTAACAAGCCGGTTGGCAAACATTCCGATACCAGGGAGGACTCTGATGAGTCAGATGACTCCTCTAAGGAGAGACAACGCCCAGCGAAATGCCACTGGAAGGGCGAGGAGTCCAAAAAGGCCGCCAACAAAGGCAAGGCGCCTCTGAAGCATAGTAAGCGCCCTGTGACCACGGTCCCCAAATACACTCTAGAGATTTCCTCGGATGAGGACAAAGATATGCCCCACTCCCTCTCCATCCTGGACAAGTGGTAGGCAGCGGTCTCAGACTCTGATGAAGGCAATTGGGGCTCCAACGCCTACGTCAGGGAGACCTTCCTGGGTGAGCGCCAGTGTAAAGGAGATGCAGAGTCATCCGCTACAGCTGCTACGCAGGAACAGGAGATATTCCTGGACGCCATGGGGCAGAGGATGTTTGACTCCAGGAAAATACAGCACCCCCGCTCCGGTACCCGTCTGAGCACCTCCTCAGGTTTATGCACTTTTGGATCCGCAAGCCCCTGGAGAAACACGTCCGCAAATGGATGAGGGTGGAGTGCCCCAGACCATCCCTACCAGCCAAGGTGGCTTTCACGCCAGAGTTCGACCAAATCATGCTGGCCTTTATGGAGCGACGGGGTTGTGACCCGCGCAGAGGGGTCGAGAGAAGCTTTAACCCTTAAGGACCAAACTTCTGGTATAAAAGGGAATCATGACATGTCACACATGTCATGTGTCCTTAAGGGGCGCAAGACAAGCTCCTGGACGTGATGGGGCCACTGGCCCATGTGATGTACCTGGCAGATGACGCTTACGTCAGAACAGACTCATTTACTGTGGACTTGATGCATGAATGGGCACATGATATCAGAGAATGGACCCAGAGGGTTTCTGCTTTCTTGGGAATACCAATGGGGCCCTCTAAACAGAGTGGTGCCACGCGGCACTCTTTCGCATAGACCCCAAACTGGCCGATCTGGGGGTAAAAGAATTGAGCCCACAGGCACAGGGTAAACTTTTTGGTGGGGCCTTTATGAAAGAGCTTAATAAGCACATTAACGTATTCACCTCGCTGAACAGAGCCCGCACATCCATGCGCAAGGTCTTCAGAGGTAACCCTTCAAGGGGTGTTTTTTCGAGGGCTGGTCGGCAACGGGGCTATGCTGATTCTGGCCATCAGGCCCCCGTATGGGACACTCACAGCAGTTTTACCCGCAACAAACTTACCGGCTCTAGACAACACTACCCCTACTACCAAAGGGGCACAGACAGAGGACTTGGTGGTTGCGGATGTACCCGCGCAAGATTCCCCACAGGTAAGAGACCAACACTTATTAATGTCTCAACTAACCATGACTGCCGGCCATGTTTCTCTTTTTTCTACAGAATTGGGCAAAACTATCCACAGATGCTTGGGTGTTACAGACTGTCAACGGGTACCACATCGAATTATGAACGTTCCCCGTACCCTCCTCGTCCCTTATGCCTCTCAGCTTCAGACGCTCACCTCATAGAAGTGGAGCTCCATAAGCTACACATGAAGGGCGCTATACAACCCGTGTGCGAACAAGGAGGCTTCTTCAGCAACATGTTCCTTGTCCGCAACAAAACCGGGGATTTCAGACCGGTGATAAATTTAAGAGATCTGAAGGCCCACGTGACCTACCGCCACTTCAAAATGGAAGGCATACACTTACTAAGGGACCTCCTTCAAGAAGGGGACTGGTTTACGCGCCTAGATCTCAAGGACGCATACCTGTTGATCCCAATTAACGAAGACAGCTTTCCTTCAGAAGGCACGGCTTCCCATGGCAATTCACTTGCTTCCCTTTCGGTCTATGCTCCGCACCATGGTGCTTCACGAAAATGTTGAAACCAGTGGTCACCCACCTCAGAACTCATGGATGTATCATTTACGTGGACGACATACTCTTATTCTGCAGAACGAGAGAACTGGCCATACAACATACCGACTATACAGTACAATTGTTGGAGTCCCTGGGTTTCATCGTCTACAGGGCCAATTCCGCAATGACCCCCATGCGAAAAATTCCCGGGCTTCGAGATAAACTCTAGGTCTTGCACACTCCACCTCCCGTCTACCAAAGTGATGGCCATCAGGAAAGAGATCCGCAGAGTACTCAAGCTCACCTACATTCCGCTCTGACAACTGGCGCGGATCGTTGGCCTACTCTCCTCATCAATACAAGCCATATATCCAGGCCCCCTGCGTTACCGTGCCATGCAATGGTTGAAAGCCTGCTTCCTTCGATGGAAACCCACGTACAACCAACCAGTTCCGCTGACGGACGAAGTGCGCCAAGAACTCGAATGGTGGCTCAACTGCATGCAAGCATGGAATGGTCGGGCCATCTTTGGCAACCACCCAGACTTCGTGCTGGAATCGGATGCGAGCCGACTGGGATGGGGCGCCACGGATTGAGAAGCATCCACGGGAGGAACGTGGACAACCCTGGAACTCTAGATGCATATCAACTGCCTGGAACTACTAGCGGGGTTATTTGCTATATGCAGCCTAGGGAAAGGACAATCCAATTGTTGTATACTTCTACGGATACATGTCTGCAGTACGGTACATCAACCACTTGGGAGCAACTCTCTCACAAACACTGGTGAATTTGACAAAGGAAATCTTCGACTACTGCCTCCCACGTAACATCACGATATGTGCAGAACATTTACCAGGGGAGTCGAACCTTACCGCAGGTTGGTACTCCCGACACTGGAGAGACGCCAGCAACTGGCAATTGAACCCGCAGATATTCGCCTATCTGAACGATCAGAAAGGACCCTTCCTACTGGATCTGTTTGCCTCATGCAACAATCATCAATTACCACAGTTTTACAGCTGGCTCCCAGATCCGTAGTGCTCGGCGGTGGACGCTTTCACCCAACACGAGGGTCTTATGCCTTTCCCCCATTCGCTATGATTGCGATAGTTGTTCACCACATCCAGAGACGAGTAGTAAAGTTAACTCTCCTTACGCCCCTCTGGCCGAGCCAACCCTGGTTCCCAGACCTCCTCGAAATGTCCCGGGAGGACCCAATTCTGCTGCCGATTGACTCCACCCTACTCAGCGACCTAGTGGGGAACCCACATCCTATGCTACTGGACGGATGCCTATCCTTGGTAGCCTGGACTCTTTCAGGGGAGCATGGTGTACCAACAACTTATCGACAATGACTAAGGATCTACTATGGGACTCCTGGGCCTCTGGACCGTGAAAGAGCTACTTATCTGCATGGCGATCTTGGACCACTTGGTGCATGGGACGGGATCTGGATCCTTTTACAGCCCCTGTTTCTGATATCATGAATTTCCTCTCGTCAATCTTCGAGGAAGGTAAGTCGTATCACACCATCAACGTCATCAGGTCCACTATATCGGCAGCCCATGTACCGTCCCAAGGAAGAGCAGTCGGACAGGGCACTCTGATCTGTTGACTACTATAGGGCATCAAACTGAGATGACCTCCAGCATTGTACTCCAATTCCAGTTCTCATCGAACTACTATCCCTAAGGCAACTGACGGCCAAGTTCACCTTCCTGTTGTGCTTGGTTTCGTTGAGTCTCGGATGTTCGGGCGTTCGATCAAGACGCCTTTACGATTGATCCGGAAGGAGTCACATTCCATATTTGACGGCGGACTAAATCCAACTCGTCATCGGTCTTCTATCCATTCTTCACCTCGGACTCCAACTTTGTGTGGTCAAGGCTTTGCGGGCATATGTGGGCAACAGAGACGTTATGCTGACTGACAGCCCGACAGCTATTGGTGTCATATGTTAACCCTCATGGTCCGGTTTTGGTCACCACACTGGCCAGATGGATCAGATGGCTCCTCTCCTTAGCCGGTATAGACCCGTCTTTTGGCGCACACTCCGTGCGAGGGGCAGCGGCATCATTGGCTTTTATGGCAGGCGCATCCCTGTCAGACATATTACAAGCAGCGGACTGATCCCGTGAATCGACGTTTCAGACATTCTATTTCTGTCCGTCGTCCAACGCCACGTTCGCTCTTCTACCTAAGCGTTAAAATTGCAAAATATGAAGCCTCCTGTCATGTTGCAAAATTTAAGATTATGCTAGCGCAGTGTACTAATAATCTTAATTTTAATAATGACAGGAGGCGAGTATTTTCCCCCCCTTTTTCGACTTGAAGTTCCCACCCTAAACTGAGGTAAGTTAGAGTTAATGGGTACAAGTCTAGTTCTAAAGATTAAATCTATGTACTGGTATGAACAATAGTATGGATTGCTGATGTTTATAACACTGTGGATTGACTCTGTATGATAACATCTTATGGTTAGTCAGATTAAGTCATTATAAGGGTTTATATATATAAATATACTCATAAACATACGTTTCATACGGTCGGTTCTGTATCGCTGATACTAGTCTCTCTTTTCTTTCAGTTTAACAAGTCTTTTGGATTGCTGGGAAGACTCAATTCCATTATCGTTTTGCAAGTTGGATCAGACATGTTATTTGTTACATTATGGACTTGTGATGTCGCATTAGTCAAGAGGAAATGATTGGATATGCTCAGACTTATATATACTCTGACTCGCTCTGATTGGTTCTTTATTTCAACAGTTTTTTCTTTGCTGCTATGGAGTTAGTAAAGAAAGTTAATGCAAAATACTCGCCTCCTGTCCTTATTAAAATTAAGATTATTAGTACACTGCGCTAGTGTGACATGTCATGATTCCCTCTTATTCCAGAAGTTTGGTCCTTAAGGGGTTAATGTAGTAACAGCCCTCCTTCCCCAGCTCAGAGTGTATGCAAGGGAAAGCATTGGGCTGCGATTGACTCGGCGTGAAATTAGACAGGGAATGAAAATGAGGGAGTACGACCTTGTACAGTGCTGGATTCTAGGTAATTTTTTAAAATTTATTTTTTTACCTGTTTCGTAGAGGTTTTCATTAAATAAGGGAATGAACAGTTTCATTGGTGCCCAATAGGGCATTATAAATACAAATAATTATTGATCAGAAATTGGTTGTAGTAACCATAGAGTTACAGTCAAACACAGAGGCAAGCAGACAGCCGCACACACACACACAGTTACAATCACACACACATCTATATACTTTTTTGAAAAAGTTGCCATACTATTAAACCATTAAAGAGACTAAAAACTGCCAATAGTAAAAAACAGAAAAAATAAATAAAATGTAAAAAAAAGAAAAAAGGTAACAAAACCCATATGTAATGTTCCAACATATTATGTTATAGATAGTTAAATTAGATTTAACAGTTTATGGTCATTAGTGTGCTTCACTATAGGAGAAACAAATCAGGTTAAATACATCACACTCAGAAAAGGTACATATACTGCCAGATCACTTATGAACTCCTAGAAAAATGTTTCCTAGTTACCACGACACTAATCAGACTGATTCTGATTTTTATATGGTTGGGATTTACTTTACCTTTAAGCACTTGTACCACCCTGGGTATGAGAGTAATGTTTATAGATTACGACCTTTAGAAAAGTATCTCAAAATGGAGTCTATGGGGTATGCTTTAACCCTGGTTTAGGTGCCTTCAGACGCAGTATTTACCTAGGTTAGCTACCTGGACTAATCCCAGATACCTCTCATATATATTTATTTTGACCCAGCCCTTCTGGATGACTGCTGTTTTTTTGTTTTACCCTTTTCTTTGTAACTATAATCAGACTCTACTAATATACCAGTTTACTTCCATTACCTTCCATTATCTCTATCATTGTATCCACCCATACATTTTATTCACCTTTTTGATTATCTCTAATATTTCCAATATCTCTAATTTTAAAAATATATCGAATTTTGAATTTTAAATTCTAAGCTTTATTTTTCCGATCCCCATAGACTGCTTCTATTTAACTGGCTACATTTTAGCCTTCCACATTTTATTACTAAACAGCTGTCTTTCTTGATACTGTCTTTCTACTTGGGTTGATCAAGACTTAGTACATTTTCTCACGCTTGCTGTGATTGATATATACAAGCCAGATAGGCAGACCCCCTAGGTTTCTCCTTTTTAATAATACCCTTTCACAAGTCACTTTTGTGTTTTTCACTTTGTCTTTTTTTTCTTTTTTAATGTTATGTAGATTTTCCCTTTAAATACTAATAAAGTTTATATTGTAATTTTTTGTTTCTTACCAATATTAGTGGGTTATACATGCTATATGTGGGTAATCTAAACTTTTTTTGAGAA